TTGCCGCTGAGCTAAATCCCCAGCCCCAGGAAGACTATTGGTATTTAATTCCAAAGTACTACAAGAAAGTTCTAAATAGCAGTCATTTCCTTAGCTATAGCAAAGAACCACTTCTTGGTGTTGCAGAGGGTGACTACAAATTCTCTAAAGTATTAACAAATCAAGAATCTTAATGTGAATAAAACATCAGATCCGAGAGAATTAACAGAAAATAGTTTAGAATCCACAACTGCCATCTTATGGGATCCCTAAACAAAAACTTTTTTTCTGGGAAGATTCAGTTAGCAAATAAATTCTGGTTTTGTGTACCACAGTCTCTGTTACTACTACTCAGCTGATTCTGCAGCACAAAAGCAGACAGGAACAATATATAAATAAATGAAGATGGCTTTATTCCAGTAAGAGTTTATTTACAAAAACAGCTGGCTGACCTGGTCATGGTTTGCCAATACCAGCCTAATACAATAAATGTAAGTTCAGTACCTAGGTCATATCTGCAGACTTGAGCATAAAGCTTGAGTTTAGAAAATGCTTCATTGTTACCATCAGCTGCCTGAGAAAACCATTCTGCTACAATCTTTTCTGATAGTTTCTTTGATGCAGTAGATCCAACTCTCATGATCCCATCCGTCAACAGTCGAGAAATAGGTCTATGTTGACCCAATCGACAGGACTATAAATATGTATTAAAAAAGCAGAATTAATGAATTTATTATGGTATTTGCATATACATTAGAAAATAAAGCACTTAAGTTATTTAAAATCAGATTACTTGTAATTACAATTTGAGATGAAAACATGGGTGAAAACAGACCCATTGGTATTTCTTCTTCCTTTAGAAATCATTCAGTTTCTTTTAAAATCAAACTATAATGAAAACATATTTACACAACAACACTAGGTAACAGCAATACAGCCATTTAGTTTGAAGAATAAAAGCTTACAGAATAATGGAAAAAGTGACCTGGGAGGCAGGGAGGGTAGTCTTTACAAACAGTTGCAGTAGTACACACTTCTAAATCCCAGCTACTTACGAGCCCAAGAGTTTAAGGCCAGCCTGGGGAACACCGAAGGACCCTATAACATCTCACCCAGCCCTCTTTTCTGGTACTGTGGATTGAACCTAGGGCCTTTGCACTGAGCTATATCCTTAGCCTTTCTTTTTTTCTCTCTCTCTCTCTTTTTAACTTTATTTTGCAACATAATCACACTAAGTTGCCCAGGCTGGGCTCAAATCTGCAAACTTGCTGGGATCACAGGTATGCAATACCATGCTAATAAAAACCCCATTAAAAACACAATCATTTTACGTTACACATCTATACCAATTCCTGTACATAGAAATATATAGTCATTTATCAAAAAAATAAAACTTGGTATGTAAATACACTATGTATTTTATACTATATATGCCAGCTCATCCCCTAGTTCTGTGGGTCAGTAATTTTTGCTACAAACTGCCCAATGTCAACAAGTTTGCAAAACTGGATTAGGCTAATTTCAATTTCGTTACTGTAAGACTTTTTTTTTGAGACAGGGTCTTGCTGTGTATTTCAGGCTGGCCTTGAACTCACTATGTAGCCCAGGTTGGCCTCAAACTCCTGCCTCAGCCTCCTGAGAACTTGAATTACACAGGCAAGTGCTGGGATTACAGGCATACACCACCACGCCTGGCTCAAAAGTTGGACTCCTGCCTCCCCGTACTGGGAGTCGAACTCCAACCTTGCACTTGCCAGGCAGGTTTTGTGCTGCTGAGCTATATCCCTAGCCCTACTGTAAGACTTTCAAAACTCTTAGTAACTTAGTATGAATTGTTAACCTCTAAAAGGTAATACACAAGTTTCCCCAGATTTATTTGACTATGGAACTTTCTTCAGGAGGAATTTTCAGTACTTGTGTTTGAAATAACTCCTTGGGCAATGTTTCTTTATAAAAAGATAATGTATAAATAACTTGTAATTAAATGGAAAATTTATATGGAAACTAAACCAGCACAGACTAACACATTCAGATTGTAAAAGAAATCAAAAGGTTGGATATCCACATACTTGTAGCTAAAAAAGGTATAATTGCAGCTTTATGTCTCACGGCATGTATAATTTGTAATTACAGTGCCTAATGACAGATACAGCATGAGAAATACAATGCATAGCAGTTAAGAAGCTGAATGTAGTAGTGTATGCCTCCAGTTACAGCTACTTAGAGGATGAGGCAGGACAATTTTAAATTTGAGGCTAGCTTGGGCAAAATTAGCCAGGTGTGGTCTCAAAATAAAAATTTTCACAAGGCCTGAGGTATAGCTCACTTGCCTACCACACGTAAGGCACTGGGTTCAATCTCTAATACTAAAGAAAAAAAGTCAGAGTTTCAGAACTGAAATAGACCTTAAGTGATACCTAGCATAAATATACATTATGTATCAGGAAAATAAGGGTTAATGTCATTACGTGTGTGGGTTTTTTTTTTTTTTTTTTTTTTTTGAGACAGGGTCTTGCTATGTGATTCAGCCTGGCCTTGAACTCACTGTGTAGCCCAGGCTGACCTCGAACTCATGGTGATCCTCCTGCCTCAGCCTCCCAAGTGCTAGGATTACAGTCATGTGCCAGCTACATGTGATCTTAGAGAATTAGGACTAGAATTTTTATGAACATAATTTTTTCCTATTTAACAATACTACCTTTTTGTTTTAGAAAAGGTTGCTTTGAATGATATATACACCATCAATATTTACCCTCCAATATGGCGCTTTCCACCATGAGCCATGGCATATACAGCTGACAAGAACAGGGTGAAAACTGTTAATTGGGCCGAGGAGATAGCTCAGTGGCACAGTGCCTGCCTGGCAAATGCAAGGTCATAAGTTCAATTCCCAGCACCAAAAAAACCAAACCAAAACAAAACAAAAATACCACTTAATTGGCTGGGTGTTGTGGTGCACGCCTGTAATCCCAGCACTTGGAAGGCTGAGGTAGGAAGACTGCTATGAGTTCAAGTTTGAGAACAGCTTGAACTACATAGACCCTGTCTCAAAAACAAAAACAACCAAGATCATTAATTGGTTTGTATGATAACTAAGTATCTAGTCTGCTGTCATCAGCACTCTGTCCTAATCAGCGGACCTTCCCATTATGTTTTGTACATAACCAAATAAATCATTAGGTAGCATTAAAATGCCACTTCTTTTTAAAACACCTACCTCATATATTGCAGTAAGATCTCTAAAAAAGCTTTTGGCTCCGTGTAACAAAGCTTCATTCTCTGGACATAGTACAACATAGGCTATATCTCTTTGAGATCCATAGGGTTCCAGCATAAGTCTCTCCCAGTAAGGGAGAGCAAATGGAGAAAGCACCAGAAAATCATAATCATAACCCAACAAAAACGTGGGAATTGGCAGTGGTTCTGGAGATTCATCAGTTCCTAAGCAAGAAAGATATTTTAAGAAAACACTTAAAATTAAGCCATGTCTCCTTTGCGGTAAATGTCAAAAGTTAGTGAAGTGATTATTAGTAAAAATATCTTATTAAAGACAAAATATTTAAAGCTAAGTAACTGATACTTTTCCAGAGTTAGAAATTACCTACAACAGGTTTTACAAAACACATTTGATTACCTTAATTTAAATGGAAAATAATTAATTTGAATGGAAAACTTGGAAGTACAACAAGAAAACATGCAAAAGGGTTTTATTTAATTTTAAGAAATTTGGACTGGAAACAGTCTCTCTAATTTTTTTTTCTTCTTTTGGAGACAGGGTCTTGTGCAGTTCAGGTTGGTCTTGAACTCACTATGTAGCCCAGGCTGGCCTCAAACTCATCGCGATCCTCCTGCCTTAGCCTCCCAAGTGGTGGGATTACAGGCGTGTGCCACCAGGCCCGACGAATCTTTCTAATTATAACATAAAACCTACTCATTACAAAATTGAATCTAACTATATAAATATAAATTTGAACCATGAAGAAACACTACAAGCAAAGCTAAAAGATTAACAATTATCAGGAAAAAGTTGGCAATAAATATGACAAAAGGTTAATTTTTTTTCATAGGAAGACCTACAAATCTATGAGAAGCTAGTCAGTAAGATGTGCTAAATGACGTTGTATAGGAGTGAAAAAACTGAACTGTAAATTTAAAAATTTGTTAGGTAGATTCCAGAATAAGTGTTCTTATCACAAAACCTTTTAAAAAACAGAAAATGATCAACTACATTACACAAAAATGGGTAAAACATATAAACAGAGTACAAAATATAGTATCTTCTATATATGCAAAAATTTTCACTATTAGAATAATTTAAAATTAATAATAACAATTACAGCACTTATTATATACTAAGTATTATTTAAAACTTTCTACATGTATTGACTTCATTAATCCTCACCAAAGACATATAAGGCTAAACTTATTTTAGAGATGACAAAATAGGAATCGATAAGTTTCACAACTTGTTCAATAACACGTAAGTAGCAGTAGAGCAGGAAATTTATCCTGATACTCTGTACCATTCAGTCTCTTGAACTGTAACGAAATACTTACTTTTCATTCACCAATTCAGTACCCTACTGGCAAAGGTTTGGGGAAAGAAGCACTTAACTGGCTGATACTGATATTGCAGAGAATACTTAGCAGTATGTATAGGATGATGTATTATTTAAAAATAGTTGTAATGAACCAGGAGTGGTGGTGTACATTTGTAATCTCAGCATCTGTAATCTGAGAGGATGAGGCAAGATGATCTCAAGTTCAACTCCAACCCAAGCAACTCAGCACGACCATGTCTCAAAAAGTAAAACTTATATAAAGGGCTAGGAATGTAGTTCAGTACAAGGCCATGGATTCAATCCCTTGTACCCCGCCAAGAGTAATGAAGAAGATAGAAAACAATCTATCTAAATAGTAAGCTGGTAAGATACATTAACTTATGTAAAAAATAACAGACTACATGTAGCCATCAAGAAAAAGAAAAGGAAAAAGACAGCTGCAAATGTACTGATAGAAACTATCTTCATATTGTTATCTTCAACAAAGTTGCTCAGATTACCAGATATAAGAATACAAGATTGATCAAACCATAGAGATTAAAAAATAAAAACAAAAAAATTAAAAATGATAGTTTCACAATATGTAATATAAGAACCACTGTTAATTCCTATCATTTTGTTCCAAAACCCTGTATCATTTTTATTGTTTTTGCTTGTTTTGTTTTTGTCTGTGTTGTTGGTATTCTGCTACTGTTCTTTTTCTATTTAGTCTCTTTAAACTAGAAAAAAAAAACTGTCTCCAAAACCAGTAAATAAGGTGCAAAAATAAAAATTTACTATCTTAGGTTTTTAAAGAACATAAAAGTTTACACCAAAATATAATTAGCCTTTATTTTCACAGAATATCACTTTTTTCTGACATTTAAATTTGCCATTAATAGAAGGAAAACAGGCAAACCTACTTCTATATATAATGTATTCCAAAACCCTTCGAAGAAATCAAAGACTTCAATGTTAAGAACTATTATTCAAAATACATTTACAGCATCCTCAACTTTCAGAGACATCTTCAACAAATAACTCACTGAGTGGTCTCTTCTACCATAGCTGACCACAAATTTATTACACACTTGAGAGGATTCACTGCTACTCTTCTCAAAACTCGCAAATTTTTGTCTTTGTCCTTATTTTTTTTTAAAATAATGAAGACCCTGGGATCTTTTATTACTAGGATTACCACCTAACCTCCTCTCCCACCCTGATTTACTAGTATGATCCTTTGTTCCTATAAAATCTTACTGAGAAGCTGAATTTGTAAAAACATATCTAAGTAAACTTTTTTCCTTTTGACATGACAACCCAGTAAGTTACACTGGTATGTTGGTTCACACACATACTTTTGTTTGTTCGCAAACAGAAGCATTTGGCAAAATTTTGTTTTTATCTGCGAATTTTGCATCTGATTCAAACATGACCGCAACCATCTTTCCTGCAAGAATACAAACATGGCCATCTTTTCCAGACTCGTGGAACAAATTAAGTTCATAAACCGAGAACCACAAGTTCAAGCTCAGCCTGAGCAACTTAGCATCTTAGCAAGACTCTGTTTAAAATAAAAACTAAAACGACTAGCAATGTAGCTAGCGTGAAGGTCCTGGGCTCAATCCCCAATGCCAAACAACTGAAAATAAATAGATAAGTCAGTCAGTCAGTCAGTCAGTCAGTCAGTCAGTCAGTCACTACATATCCCCATAAATTACTTACCATAAGAGCCTCGGCCAGCTATTTTGTGAAACTGTTGCCAAGTGAGAGGACCTTGAACTCCCCAAGGTCTTACTGTTCTTTTTTTCTGAATAGCATCTTGAAGAACTGGCTGAAGAGAGAGGAGCATTCGAAGAATATCCTGTGAGCACTGCATGCTCGCATCTACGAGCGTTAGAAAAAAAAGTAAGAATTGCTATTGCCAACATAAAATTTTAAAATAATAAGCACATCTAGAGAAGTTTAGCTCTTTATGATCAAGAAGATGAAATATTAGCCGTGTGCAGAGACTGTATAAAGTGATGGAGCATTTGCTTACCATGTATGAAGCACTAGGTTCAACACAGCACCAAAACAAAACAAACAAAAACAAAAACAAAAAATCTCTTCCAGATAACCAAACGACCAAGAAGAGACAATAAAAAAGTCATTGTAACTTTGCCACAAAATGTTATTACCAGGCTGGGCGTGGTGGTGCATGCCTGTAATCCCTGCACTCAGGAGGCTGAGGCAGGAGGACTGATGCGAGTTCGAGGCCAGCCTGTGCTACAGGGTGAGTTCAAGGCCCGCCTGAACTGCATAGCAAGACCCTGTCTCAAAAAGAAAAAAAAGTATTACCTAATTAATTAGTAAATTATGTTTTCTTTTTGCATTTCTTTTGGTTGTTCCTAGTACTTACAGGTATTTTACCAGAAGGAATTCTCCCTCACATAGAAATGGGTTATAAATTGGGCGTGGTGGTACATGTCTGTAATCCTTGCATTCAGGAGGCTGAGGGAGGAGGACTGATGTGAGTTTGAGGCCACCCTGGGTTACAAAGTGAGCTCAAGGTCATCCTGAACTGCACAGTGAGGCCTTGTTTCAAAAAGATAAAAAAAAAGGGGGGGGATGTTATAAATTATGTCCCTTTTTTACCATCACTATAGTAATCAGATAAATAAGACTAGTTACAGTGATTAATTCGGGAAAAATACACTAAGACAAAAATACAAGGCTTGGGATACACTTCAGTAGTAGAACGCTTGCCTATCATTCTTGAGGTCCTGGCTTCAACCCCCAGCACCACAAAAACAAGAAATAAACCAATGTGAAATACAAAACTTGTGCAATAACAGATAAGCCCGCTTAAACTGCTAAAAAGTATTATCCATAGATATTTTATAAACTTAGACTCATAGATTATCAAATTGCTTTATATGCATTTCTGACCAACTATCAGAACATAAGTAAAAGATATTGCTCTTAAGTGTCAAAGGGCTAAAAGAAAAATCTCTAAATAATACTGATATAATTGATCTGGACCCCAGTATGGTATATTTGAACAATCAAATCTGTTTTACCATACATTAAATCATTCAATTTTAATTATCATCATTGCCTGGTTTATTATTGTAGGCATTAATTCCCCATAACTAAATGGTGTACAGAAAAAAATCTAATTCCGAATATAATGTATAACAATTATGCTTAAATAAACTACTATACACATAATAAAGTGCTTTAATCAGAAGTGGTAGGGTCCTGGAATATAGTTCAGTGGCACAGTGCCTGCCTGGCAAGCACAAGGTCTGGTACAAAAAAAAAAAAAGTGATAACAGCTATGTGACACGGACTAATGACTATGAATGAAAAACACAAAACTATCGGATATACACAATTAGAAGTATGTATATCTTTGTGACTACTCACGTAAGAAAGTCTAGGAAGTTATCACTGGCTAAGGCTGGTATTATAATCACAAGAGAGCTTTGACAGCTGCTGATAATACTATAGGAAAAATTTTCTTGAGGGACCTAATAATCTTGTGGGAGGAAAACTCACATGAAAAAGTATAACTGTATATGTTACATATACAATAATTAGAGTAAGTATAAGAGCTAACGAAGAAAAATAAGCTAAGACTAAAGGATAATGACATTTTAGACTGATCATGGAGGAAAGACATACAGATTAACAGAAAATAATTGCACATCCAAAACTCAGACCTCGTATTTATGAAAACTGCTTTTTGATGAAGGTAAGAAGGCAACTTAGTGGGAAAAGACATTCTTTCCAACCACCTCAGACAACTGGAAATCCACATGAAGCTGAACTCATTTATGTACAAAAATAATTCAAAAGGGATGACATACAGAAATGTGGGAGAGGGGCTGGGGATTTAGCTCAGCGGCAAAGCGTCTGCCTGGCAAGCGCAAGGTCGTGAGTTCAGTTCCTGGTACCGGAGAAAAACCAAAAAAAAAAAAAAAAAAAAAACAGAAATGTGGGAGCAAAAAGTATAAACTTAAGGGAAAAGGTAAATTTTCATGATCTAGGGCTAAAGCCTTTTAAAAATATGACATCCAAAAGTACAAGCAACAAGAGAAAAATTAATTTCATCAAAACTACAAATGTAGCAAAAGGTACCATCGAAAAGTTGGGCATGGTTGGCACATGATTAGAATCCCAACACTCTGAGAAGCTCTGGCAGGAGGATCGCAAGTTGGAACTCAACCTGGGCAACTTAATGACTTAGCAAGACCCCGTCCATCCATCCATCTGTCCGTCAATCAATCAATCAATCAATCAATGTAAAAGAATAACTAACACGGGCTGAGGATGTAGCTCAATGCAAAGGCCCTAAGTTCAATTCCCCAGTACAGAGAGGGTGAAAGAGGACTGTGTGAAAAGATGACACCATAAATAAAATACCAAATGTCATATAACAAATCCTATGTCTGAAAAAGGACTTTTATCCAGAATACATAAAAACTTCTAAACACAATAAAAAGAGGGCAAAAAGCTGAATTTTAAAAAGTGGGCAAAGGAGTTATCTTCAAAGAAAACAGAAAAATAGACATTAAGTATATAAAAAGATTCTCAACACCATTGTTTATTAAGAGAAATGAAAATCAAAACCATAATAAATTACATTATACCTATTAAGATGACAATAAAAAATATAAACTGACAAGTGTCGATGAGGATTTGGTAATATTTCCCTCAAATATTGTTGATGGGAATGAATACGGTTAATTAATTCCTCAAAACATTAGAGTTACATGACCCAGCAAGTCTACCTGGGTAATAAAAACAAATGTCCACTCCAGTTTTACACAAAACAAGAAAGAAACTACCAGTCTGGCATGGTGGCACATACCTGTAATCTGAGGCAAGAGAAAAGTAAGGTCTATCTAGCATACCCTGGGCAACTCAGCAAGCTCCTGCCTCAAAATATAAATATATAGAGTCCGCCAAAAAAGTATACACCCTTCAGGAAAAGAAAAATAGTATGATGTTTTTTCAACAGATGGCGTTACCCTCATATGAGGAACCCTAGTGGATGTTGTATACAGCAGAAAACCAACTACACCGCCAGCCCTTAGAGAAGGTGAAAACGCACGTGCAGCAATCTCAATGACCAACATTACCCAAGCAACGATTTGCTGTACTAATAAATGTCTGGAAGCTAACAGCCACCACTTGGAGTACCTCTTATAACTGTACAGGTCAAAGGTAACTTGTATTAATCTCATGATGTCTCAATAAATTTAGTATTAAAATATTTATACAAGTTTTTCTTTTCCTGAAGTGTACATACATTTTTTTTTTTTTTTTTTTGGTGGATTCTGTATTACTGATCTGGGCATAGTGGCACATGCTTGCAATCCTAGCACTCCGGGAGGCTGAAAGAGGAGCAGAAAATCTTAACACAGCCTGGGCAATTTGGCCATCTAGCAAGAGCTTTTCTCAAAATAAAATATAAAATTTAAAAGGGGTGGGGATGTAGCTCAATGTGAAAGCCCTATGTTCCATGCATATATATAATATAATCTGAGACTTAAGTCTTTCTTCACCCCAAATTACTACTACTGAATTTATCTGTTACAAGTATCATTTTCAGAATTTATGTAACATTCTATCTGTACAACTATAATTATGTATTTTAATCAATAGGCATTTGGATTATTTTCACTTTCCATTATAGTTTTAGCTCTCTAGGAATTTAAAACAATTTAAGGTGGAATATCTTCATAACACGCCACTGTTTTGCACTGATCCAAAAATGATTGAATTTAGCAAGTGACACAAGACCAAATAAAGTTACTATGCTTAATGTGGATTAATTCATTAGATCTTAACAGTGCAACGTAATTCCAATGCTAACTAGCTTTATTTCATTAATACAAATGAAGACACCAAGATGTTAAGTCAATTTGTCCAATACCATACTGCTAGTGAGTAGAAGAACTCAGTTCCTACCCTATTTGATTTTAGAAGGTCTGGAAGAAAAATGTGAAAAGTTTGTTTCTCTTCTCCTTTTTGAGAAAGGGTCTCGCTATGTGTCTCAGGCTTACTTCAAACTTGAAATCATCCTGCATCAGCCTCCAGAGGACTGGCATTACAGGTGTGCACCACCACACTCAGCTTGAGAATTTGTGTTTCTAACAAGTTCCCAGGGGATGTTTGAACCAGCTAGTCTGAGAAACTAGATTTTCAAAACCACCATTCTATAAATTAGAATTTACTCTATAAATTAATTTTCATTCTCTCATTAGTCAAGCATTATTTCCCTCATCATTAATTATAAAAGCAGTCACAGGAAAATTTTCACTTCACTCTTCTACAAAGAAACTATTCCTTTCCTTCTTGCTATAGGAGCATGTTCCTATCTAACTAGCCCTCTATTTCTACAATGGAGTCTATTACCTCCCACTTATAATGGTTTTGCTCTTACATTATCTTATGTGTTAATATTCCTTATGGAATAAAGTGGGGATGTAAAAAGGGATGTCAGCCAAAGTTCAGATAGAAGGGATAAGTTTTAGAGATCTACTGGACAGCATGGTGAAAACAGTTAATAATAATAATATATCCTATATTTCAAAAGCCCTTAAAGAGTGGATTTTAAGCTGTACTTGGTAGCACACACCTGCAATCCCAGCACTGTGGAGACAGAGGTAAAAGGATCACCATTTAGCAACTAAGCAAGACCCTGCTTCAATATTTCAGTACGAAGATTGACCTTTTTATTTATTTATTTTTTTTGGTCTTTTTGAGACAGGGTCTTGCTATGCAGTTCAGGCTGGCCTGGAGCTCACTTTGTAGCCCAGGATGGCCTCAAACTCACAAATGATCCTCCTGCCTCAGCCTCCTGAGTGCCGAGATTACAGGCGTGTGCCACCACTCCCGGCTAAAGATTGACCTTAGGTTCAACCTCCAGTATTGCTTAAAAAAAAAAAAAAAAAAGATTTTTAAATGCACTCCCCATAAAAAGTAAGTAGGTAGAGATGATTAATCTAGCTTGATTTAATCTTCTGCTAAGTACACATAAATCAAAACATCACAATACTTAAATACATATAATTATTATTTGGCTATTTAAAATTTTTCTCTAAATAGGGTCATTCTCAGTGTACCTTTAAACTACAACTCTCTTTGAAGACTACCATCTAATTTCTCTGCTATTTATGACAAAATGTCCCCAAAGAGTTTAAATTTGCTTCTCATCCTGTTCTCTCCGAAGTCCACTATGATCAGACTGAAATTTCTTGTCAAGACTGCCATCAATCTCCATGTAGTCAGATGTAATGGTCCTGTTGGTTTTATCTAATATATCATAATATTTTTGTTTGTTTTGAGACAGGTTTTCACTATGTAGTTTAGGCTGGCTTTGAACTCACTACATAGTCCAGGGTGGCCTTAAACTCACTGCAATCCTCCTGCTTCAGCCCTGCAAGTGTTCAGATTACAGGTGTGTGCCACCACAATCGGCTATCACAATATTTGGGACAGATGAATCACTCTCTTTCTTTAATACTTCTCATACTTTAGTTTCTAGGACACTACACTCTCTTGCTTTTCTTTCTACCTCCTTCTCAGTTTCCTTATCTGGATCCTCCTCCTCTTTTGTACCTTTGAATGTCAGCTCCATTCCTGGATTCCTCTATCAGTCACTCTTATTTCATTCAGCTGCATATTTTTGGGTTTTCTGGGTGGGGAGTACTGTACAATTTTTAATACTGGTAAGTCACACACATACAAAATGATTATTCTCCAGACCCAATTACTCCCTTGAATTTAAAGCTCCTATTTCCAAATGTATAGTTAGCTGCTCCCCCAGTGTTTCCTCTTCTATAGTTAGCACCACCACTCTTCTAGCTGCTCAAGCTACTCTGATGGCTACAGCCAATCTTTCAGATGCTACTTCCTGAACGTACCTGGAATCTTATCATCACTACTGTACTGCTTCTGACTGTGATCCAACAGTTATCATCTTTCATCTGGACTACTGCAACTGCCTCCCAACTAATCTATTTGCCTCTACTCTTATATTCACCACCGCCAATCCCCAAACTATGCTTCATATAATTGCCAGCGATCTTTTAAAAAATAAACAGAAAAAAGGATCATGTAACTTCCCTGCTCAAAACTGCTCAACAGCTTTCCATCACCATTCAGAATGCACTACAAAGGCATTGTATGGTCTGTAAAACCATACATGATTTTGGTGCTTGAACACATCTCAGGTTTCATACCAGTTCACCCATCATCAGCTACACCCCAGCACGCCTCCCTCACGTTCCCAAACATATGAAGCACGCTATTCCCTCACGCTTTTTGTACCTTGTATTGCTTGTAACACACTTCCCTTAGTTAACCACCTAGCTCACATTCTCCCACTCAATGCAGGACAGAAGTTTTTGCTTAAATGTTTTCTTTCTCTGACCATACAGCTAACAAGCACAATTTCTTTCTCCTCTTTTGCCCTCCTTAGCCATTCCCCCACTACCCTTCTGTACTGAGGAATGAACCCAGGGCCTTCTCTGTGCACTGAGCTATATTCCCAATCTTATACCCTCCCCGCTTTTTAAAAATCTGAGACAGGGTCTCACCTAATTATCACTAGTTGTCCAGACTGGGTTCCAACTTGTAATCCTCAGCTTCCCAGAGAGCTGAGATTACAAAGGGTGCCTCCACACCTATATTTGCTTAGTTTTCTTCAAAGCCCTTGTCTCTATTATGTAATTACTTGTTTTTTTGTGTGTGTGTGTGTGTGTGTGTGTGTGTGTGTGTTGCTGTCTCTTCCATTAAATTACAGGCCCTAAAAGGGCAAGGAATATGGGAATATGTCTGCTGTGTTCAACAGTGATCCTAGATCAGTTCCAAACACTTCTAAGGTACTCAATAAATATGTAGTGAAAGACTGCTGAATAAAGCAGACAACCAGTAATTTTCTGCTAATTAACATGTATGAAGTACTTTTTATATTCCCATATAATTATAGATTTTCAGTAATAGTACTTTTATTGGTGAAATTAAACTAAACAGCTTAGATATCCCTCTAAAAATTCTAAGTCCAAGTTTAAGAGTCTCTATTAGCTGCACAGAAGTAGCTTTTGAATACTTCTCCCCTAAGACAGAAAAGCAATTACACAATGCAAAGAAAATAAAACTTATTTCATTAACATACTTACCATTTCGTTTAGACCAGGGATGTAAGCATGAGCTTTTCACAAGTGCTTCATCAACTTTTCCCCCTGACATATTATCCATGAACTGACGCCCATGTTCTAATGCAAGATAGCAGTCATTGCAACAGTCCCGCTCTTCGACTCGTACCCAATTGCTAATTACACCAATTTTGGGGAAAGGATCTTGGTCTGATGCTCCAAAGGGTGAAAATAAATTAGTACACTGATCTTGTAGCAATAATATCAATTCATCAGGCAATTTTTCTGATTCCTTTAGACCTCCATTAATATGTTCAGCAGAGGTAGCCCTGAGAGCTTCAAAACGTTTTTCTGCTTCTTTGCCAAAGTCTGTGTTGCGTCCTATGATATCTAGTTCATCTTCAAGAAATAATCCTGAATTGTTTCCAAATTTTCTGTTCATGACAGCACTGAAACCACAGGTACACCTATACTGTGCTTCCTGCGTTGGATCTGGAATGTAAACTCCAACATCGGCACCCTTGATATTCATGTTGCAGACACAGATACAGCAACTATCAAAGTTACAGTCTTTAAACAAATTCATAACTGATTCTGAAAGGATGAGGTTTACATAAAGACTGTGTGCTTCAGGGATGGAAGGAACAGTTGCAGGTTCAACAGAATTAAGGGGTCTGCATGTAGATGGGGTGGAGGCTGGTGAATACAGGTCTGAGTTTTCATACTTGACTGAACCTTGAGCACTAGCAGGTCCACCAGCTCCACGAGGAGTTCGAGGAGTCCTTGGAGTCCTTGGAGTTGGAAACCTAGGGGTGGATGGAGAAGGAAGAATTCCTGCTCCACTGTTACTAGGAGGAGCGCTGCTAGGAGGCATCCCAAAAGAAGTATGGGTTTGAGGAGTATAAGCAGGTCCATATTCTTGATCCATATTACTTGCATCACTATTGTTGCCAAGGTAAGAAAGAAAATCAAATACATACATAAAGAAACACATTAATAATGTGAAACACAAACAAAAAAGTCCCAAACATTTTTTCAGTTACATTAAAAATTGTGATAAGTATAACTAAGACATTTCTGGCTGCTATGTCTACTCTGGTGACTGTTGCAGACTAAGGATCAATCAATCAACTAGCTCCATTTTTTTTCCCACTTAGTACTAGGGATTGAACATAGGGATACTCTACCACTGAGCTGTATCCTTTGAGTCCTTTCTTTGTTAAAACAGACAGAGTCTGTTAAGTTAAGTTGTCCAGGATGGCCCTGAGCTGATTCTTCTGCCTCAACCTCCCAAGTAGCTGGAATTATAGCCATGTGCCACTAAGCCCAGCTTTTGTTCCAGAATCATAAATGAGATCCATATCCACACTAGACATATGCATTTACTATCTATAAAACTTTTTTTGGTACCAGGAATCAAACTCGGGACCTTGCACTGGCCAGGCAGGCACTTGTACTGCTGAGTTATATCCCCGGCCCTATAAATTTTTTATACTATGAATATTCACATTTCATTCAGATTCTATTGAGTATAAAAATTTGATTTCAGAGCTGTTCATCTGTAAAAAACAAACAGTAGTAATTTTAAGATGTTACCAACTGTAAAAAAAAAAAGTTACCAACTGTAAGAAACCCCAAGCACAGAGATTTCAGAGATGTTAAAATGTGAAAAGTATGAGAAACATGACATGCATACAAATGGGAATGATTTAGATTCACAAACCAAAAGGAAAAGTGCTTCTGAAGTCCAATAGACAAAAGCATAGTGGTCGTACCATTTCTAACAGTTTATTTGTCACTGATAACATTTTATAATCAAACACCATTTTAAAAGTTTTCAAAAACTAATCTTCTTTTCCCAGCACAGTAGGTACTTCCATGGAAAAAAAAAAATTAAACCTAGACAAGGATTTATATACAATAAAAACACAAACCATACCCTTCTTTGATGAATGGCATTGTAGACCCTGAAGGAAGCAATTCCAATTTTCCAACACTCCAACTCTGGCGGTAAATACAATCTTCTGGCAATTTGATAGGGGGCAGACATTGGCTTGGTAGAGATTTTAAAGGTGCAAACATGGAACATCCCACTAGAACTTGACAATTTTCAGGCTTATAGACATAAGAAAAATCCTACAATATAAAGAGCATGGATTTTCAGCGTATTACCTGCCAAAGGCAAAAAAGAAACAAAAAACCCAAACTAATTGTGTCCTTTTTTTCTATTTAAATAGAGGAAAATGTAAATATTATTCTATTCTTAAATGCGTTCTTAGTCACCACAATAGTCCTCTAATCTGTTAGCTACAAAACTAGAATCACTATGAAAGGATTTTTTAACATAGAAACAAACAAGTTTATAAGAAAATACAGGAAGTGAATGATTTTTCTAGAAAAATGAAATACTTACTTTAATTTCAGAAGGTTTTGGGCTACAGAATCCCTCATCAACTTCAATTTTGAACTGTGCTCCTATACTAGAACTATTTCCTTCTAGAACAGTTCCTCCAGGTGTAGTATCCATACTACCATAGTCTTTATTATTCATATTCATTGGGGAAAATCCCATAATATGTTGTTCCAATGATGGTGGTGTAGGATACATTTTATGAAGATCTGCAGTGCCTATATTTAATAAAACATATTTTAAAGTAAGACTAAAAAGAGGTGAATCTATGTTTAAAACAAAGGGAGTGGGAATTTGTTCAGATTTAAAGTTTGCAATTTAACTGCAGCACAGATTTTGAGAAGCTTACTTATACAAGATAACGGATCCAGATTTCCTGTCTTTGATTCTTTGCAGTTGGCTTTATCGTCTGATCCAGTCGCTGATTTTTTAGATCCAGGCTATTTTAAAAAAGCACATATTTATATGAAATCAAATGTGATCTCAAAGTAGTAATCATTCAGATGTAACTTAAAATTAAATCCCATTCAACAAAAGTGGTATTTTGAATCTGTGACAGAGTCAAATACATACTAGATATACTTTAAAGATATAAAATAAATTCTAGGCAATCACTGAAGATTTTTTTTTTGTTTTGTTTTTTTGTTTTTGTTTTTTTTTTGGTTTTTCTCCGGTACCGGGAACCGAACTCACGACCTTGCGCTTGCCAGGCAGGCGCTTTTGCTGCTGAGCTAAATCCCCAGCCCCTGAAGATTTTTAATATGCCTTCCAATTGACAGAGGAAAAAGTCTACCCCTCTGAAATGATCAATACTTCTGTAACACAGAATAACCAGTAACATAAAAGCTATTAAAAAAATAAGAACTGATAAACTAACATGAGAGTTGATTCTTAATAAAGATTCTCATAAAGCATTTGTCCCATTAAGTAGACCTCATAACAAAGCAACAAGGTCCCTAATGGAAAATAAATTTTAATATGCTGAACAAACCAAATTTTAGCATCTTCGATTTATCACTAATGTTTTTAGAGCTGACAATATTTGTTCCACATCTTCTGTATAGACTAAGTTCTGACTACAACCTTTTTACCTTAAAGAACCACAGCTCAGATATGAATGGCATCAAAGTATAGACGGATCAAAGTGCTGAAAGATATATTCATTCACCTACTGAGCAGTGTCCTAATAAATACTACATTAGTTTATAAATAGCTACATCTGTGACATACATGTGTATATACATATACAGACACACACATAAATAGACATACACATACATGTATATATTTTGATAGCATATATTATACAGGATAAGAAAGACCAAACATGCCATAGTTTACAAGCAACTTTTATACAGATAAAAAAGGCATTCTGTTTATGTTAATGTGAAACTCAATTCATTAAGTTGCTAGAGACTTGATATTTTAGTGAATCTTTTTTTTTCTTTTCTTTTTCTTTTTGAGACAGGGTCTCACTATGCAACTCAGGCTGGTCTTGAAAGCACTTTGTAGCCCAGACTGGCCTGGAACTCACAATGATCCTCCTGTCTCAACCTCCCGAGTGCTGGGACTACAGGAGTGCACCACCACATCCGGCCCTCTAGTGAATCTTTTTTATTTTATTTTATTTTATTTTATTTTATTTTATTTTTGGGGGGGTGTTTTTTCCAGTACCGGGAATCGAACTCACAACCTTGCGCTTGCCAGGCAGGCGCTGTGCCGCTGAGCTAAATCCCCAGCCCCGTGAATCTTATTTTAAACTTCAACTTCTTTTCTCTTTACCTTTCTCGACAAACCAGTGTTAAAAGTTAAATATTCTTTTTTAATTCTTTCAATGTTAAGGTATGTATCTGTCATATAATAATAGAGGAGTGTCAAATTCTAACGCAGTGGTCTTCCTTAAGAAACTGACAAGGCATATATATTTAATGTTAACTAATATATTCTCTACATGAGGTATTTCCAGTCATTTCTCAACTAGTACATCAAAAAATAGAAAACTTACTGTTTCCTAAGGACTTAATAAAAAAAGAACACATGGTAGAGCTCAAACTAAGCTTCCTCAGTGTGTCCTTCAAACACATACAAAAGGATAAAAAGCCACTTCAAAGTTTACTTAGGAAACTATATCAAAATGAGATTAAATTTTCAAAAAAAAAAAATCAGTATTTTATAATATTTCCTATTGTTTGGAGCTCAAACCATATTTAAATCATAAGTCACTTCCAAAACATAAAGAACTTATTTTAAAAAATCAAGGAAAACAAATTTAATCTAAATTATTAATGGGATACTCACTGTTAGTTCATCTTCATCAGAATTGAAGAGATTATCAAGATCAGTATAAGAGACAGCCAAGTCTGAGTCATATATCAAACTGGTTGATGGAGGACGGGCATGACTACTAGGACGTGGAGCATCTATATACGTCAGTCAGAAAAATGAAATAAAACTTCAACTAATGACCAAATATTTTATTTTTATTTATGGACTATTTATAAAACTTATGTTGTAAGGTTATGCAACAAGAAACTGCAATTTCTTATTTAAAATATAAATGGGAAAATATATATATAAAATAGGGGAGTTGTTCAATGTACATGTAATTATACAAGACAAGTTCTAGATATCTGCTATATATCAAAGTACCTATACATAACAATATAGTATTACACTCCAATATTTGTTAGGACGATAGATCTCATGTTGTGTTGTCTTTCCACGTGTGTGAGCGTGCACATGGTTACTAGACGATGGGAAAGGTGGAAGATGGACAGCTAGAGGGGTAACAGGTGATACCAAAACAGAATTAAATGAGTAAGTTCTAGTGTTTACACCCACAGTGGAATGACTACAGTTCACAATAAGCTAGTACATATTTTATGAGGAACAAGAAGAGAAGAGCTTGAAGGCTCCAGACATGATACGATGGAATTACTAATTATGCTGATTTGAACAGTAAAGGTGGTATACATGTACTGAAATAAATCATACCCCCAGATATGCACACCTGTTACAATTAAAAGAAAGAACACATACATTTTTCTATTTTGTTTAAATGTAAAGGAAGCATAGCACAGTAAGAGTTCTAGTTCTTCAGCTGGATGATTAATTTGAATCCCAGCTCCACCACCAACAGTATGATCCTTGGCATATTGCTTAACCTCTCTGTTCTTCAATAATAGCATGTACCAAGAATTCAATGTGATGGAATAAAGGGAAAGGAACCACTTTGCCTGGAACCACGAAAGTTCTTGATAAATATTACCTTACTTATTTAAGCTTTGTTTCAATACTAGAATTTTACCCCTGCTGCCAACTAGTAGATCACAGAATAGAAAAATTACTGTTTCCTAAGGACTTAATAAAAAAAAGAACACATGGTAGAGCTCAAACTAAGCTTCCTCAGTGTGTCCTTCAAACATATACAGAAGCATAAAAAGCCACTTCAAAATTTACATAGGAAATTATATCAAGATGAGATTAAATTTTCAAAAAAAAAAATCAATTAATATTTTATAACACTTCCTATTGTTTGGACCTAAAATCATATTTAAATCATAAATCACTTCTAAACATAAAGAACTTATTTTAAAAAATCAAGGAAAACAAACAATCTAAATTATTAATGGGATCCATCCATCTCAAATACAATGTTGACTTTTTTCTTTCTAGTACTACTCCCTTTATTTAAAAAAAACTTTTTATTAATACATGTCAAGGATGAACGGTAATGCACTGATAATACAGATCATATTTTCTTTTGGAGGGAAGAAACATGATCTCTCACAAAAGAAAAACAAAACAATTCACGCATTAATCTCCGTATGTCAGCAGACTTGATACAGCCTCCACTTTCAGAAAGGTAAGACACTTTCCCAGTATAGATGCATGTCAGTTCTAAAGATTCATTAGAGAAACAGTTTTGAAATGTTAAAGAGTATGTAAAAATCATCTAGGGTAGTTATTAAAAACCAAAGTTCCACTTAAGATGCTATGCATGTGGTACATGGTCCACATTCTGAGAATGCTGTATCACAGGCCCGAGGAAGGAATCACACACTTTGTACATCATAGATAGGAAAACAGCCCGAAGAACCCAATTTTCTTTTTATTTTTGAGATAGGTTCTCACTACATAGCTCCAATTGGCCTACAGCTCATGATCCTCCTGCCTCAGCCTCCAAGTACAGGTATTACAGGCATGCACTAGCACACCCAGACAAGAACGTGTGTGTGTGTGTGTGTGTGTGTGTGTGTGTGTGTGTGTGTGTGTGTGTGAGAGAGAGAGAGAGAGAGAGAGAGAATGGCTAAATCAAGCTGTTTAATATATGCAGTGCCTCACACACTTAATGTTTTTATACTGAAAACACTTAGTATCTACTCGCGGCAATTTTCAGATATACAATACGGACTGTCCCTAACTTAAAAAGTTCAATTTAGAAGTTTTAACTTTACGACAGGATGAAATCCATTTATATTCAGTACAAAACCATCAAACTTTGAATTTGATCCTTTCCTGGGCTCGTGATATGTGGCACAATATTCTTACAATGCTGAGCAGGGACAGCACAATGCAGCTCCCAGTCAGCCGTACAATGAGGAGGAACAACTGAAATTCTCTACAGTGTACCGCTGCCGATATTTAGCAGATATAAATCTTGAAAAGACTACGTGACAGTCATAATTTCATTAAAAATTAAGTTTAGAGCTAGATAATTTTGCTTAATTATAGGTTAATGTAAGTGTTCTGAGGACATTTAAGGTAATCTAGGCTAAGCAACTATTTGGTAGGTACGATCAAATGTAGTTTTGACACGCACTATTTCAAATTATGATGATTTTAACTTATGATGCTCCCCCATCATAAGATATCGCAGACACTAAGATATATAAGGAATCTCTTGAATTTATTCATTTTAACTGAAACTTTGTGCCCTTTAACCAACCTCTCTCCAATCCCCTACCCCTCAGCCTCTGGTAGCCAACATTTGATTCTCTGCTTTTGAGATGTACTCCCTCCCTTCCTCCTTCCATCTTTTCCTCTTTGTTCCCTCCTTCCTTTCTTACTTTCTCTTTTTTCTTTTTTTTTGTAGTTAGGGATTGAACCCAGGGCATTGGGAATGCGAAGGAGTGCTCCTTTGCTGAGTTATAGCCACAGTCCTATGTGCCATACTTTTTTTTTTTAAATATACTTTTTAAGATTCTATATACAAGAGATCGTTCCCTTGTATATAGAATTTCTGTGCCTGGCTTATTTCACTTAACATAATAATGTTCTCCAAGTTTACTCCTGTTCCCACAAATTATTTCCTTCCATCCATCCATCTCAAATATAATGTTTACTTCTTTCTTTCTTTCTTTCTAGTACTACTCCCTTTATTTTTAAAAACTTTTTTATTAATACATGTCAAGGATGAATGGTAATGCACTGATGATACAGGTCATATTTTCTTTATCCATACATCTCTTGATGGACCCTTAGGGTGATTCCGTACCTTGGGTACTGGGAATAATTACAAAATGAACACAGGTGTGCAGATAATTAGTTATCAACACACTGATTTCCTACCCTTTGAATATATACCCAGTAGTGAGACTTTCAGATCATATGGGTTCCATCTCTAAATTTTTTAGAAAACTCCATAGTAATTATTAAAAATCATAATGATTAGACTAATCATTTACATTGCTACCAATATTGTACACATCCTTGTACTGCATACTCCCCATCCTTGACAACACTTATTATCTTTTGTCTTTTTGGTAAAAGTCACTTAAACAGGTGTGAGGTGATATTTCATGGTGGTTTTAATTTGCATTTTCCTGATGATTAGTAATGTGCAATATTTTTCATATGCCTGTTGGTCATTGTATGTCTTCCTCTGAGAAAAGTGTAATCAGGTCCTTTGCTTATTTTTTTAATCAGCTAGTCTTTTTTCTATTGAGATGTTTGAAGTCCTTTAATTTTGGATATTAATCCTTTATTTAAAAAAAAGGACAAAAAGTGCCAACAATTGAAAAATGGATTTCTATCACCTGAACTGTTTCTGCTCCCCACAAAAGATAAACAATACATCCATCTATCCATCCAACAAAACATACAAATTATGCAAAAAAGAATATTAGAAGTTCACCGATATCAGATGAGTTTATAGTAACAATTCTGAAATGCATTAACTTTGATTAGGAAATGAAAGTGTTACCTTGCTTAATAGAGGGACTAAATAATGACATAGCATCTTCTTCATGTGATAAGACTGTAACACTAGATGTCCCATCTTCTACCTGCAAACAATATATTACATAGTAGGCTAAAATATATAATTTAGCAAAAACAAAATCTAGCAACTTTTGAGTCATGTATCAAGCAGTCTGCTAAATGTTCTATGTATAGTATTACTGATTTTTTTTTTTTTTTTGGTTTTTCTCCGGTACCGGGAACCGAACTCACGACCTTGCGCTTGCCAGGCAGGCGCTTTTGCCGCTGAGCTAAATCCCCAGCCCCAGTATTACTGATTTTTGTAGTGCTGAAGCAGGTAGTTTGCTCATAGGAGATAGATTGAGATTCAGATAGATTCTAAAGAATCTGCCCAGGAATCATGGCTACTAGTGGGAGCAGGAGTTTTAACCTACACCTGTAAAATTTCAAAAGTCTGTGTTCTTTCTATTATATCTGCAGCCTTCCAGCTACTACTGTTTTCATATTTATAAAAGGACAAAAGTTTAAGTATCTGGCACATAGTAGAGGTAAGTAAAATTTTGTGAAATGTATTCTTTACACAAAACATAGTATTGGGTCATTTCCATAATTTTAATGTTCAATTTTCATATTTTGTATCTAAGGCAAAAGTCTAACACTATATATTATATACTTTTTTTTCCTTTTTTTCTCTTGATACTGAGGATTGAATCAAAGGAGTATAAAGCTGCATTTTAAAAGCTCCCCTTTTAAAAAAAATTTGATATAAGGTCTTGCTGTCCAAGCTGCCCTTGAACTTGCAATCCTCCTGCCTCAATCTTTTATATGCCTTTTTATCTTTTTGAGATAGGATCTCAGCTACATTGTCTAGGCCAGCTTCAAACTTGCAATCCTCTGGCCTCAGCATCACAAGTAGCAGGTATTACAGGTGTGCAATAACATGTCAGGCTCTCTTTCTTAGAAGACCTTCAAATACTTGACTTTTAAAATTTTAATCAGATAAATGTTTTTATGCCCCAAATTTCATTAATGTAAACTTTTACTTTTAGGGACACTTTAAGTTCCTAAACAATTATTCAAAAATATTGTGAAATTGTTTAATTCAGTGGAATACATTTTATCTTTGAAAACTGGTAACTGGACTCAGGACCTCACACTTGCAGGAAGGCATTGTGCCACTGAGCATATTATATCCGTGGCCCCACTTTTATTTTTAAACTCAGTGACAAAACAATCTGCCTAAATGTCCTGATTTCAATTATGACAGAAGTTAAACCAGGTGTGGTGGCACACACCTGTAACCCCAGCACTCAGGAGGCTGAGGCAGGAGGATCATTGTGAGTTCCAGACCAGCCTGGGCTGCAAAGTGAGCTCAAGGCCAGCCTGAACTGCATAGTGAGACCCTGTCACAAAAAGACAAAAAAACAAAACAAAAAACAAAAAAACAAAAAAACCCCCACAAGTTAATACTTTTTATCCAATTCAGAAACATTAAAACAAAGATCTTTTCGTAAGACTAGCCATAAGGTGTACCACGTGCCTGATTTAACCTACTGAAAAATAGACACTTCTAAATTAAAAAGATTAACTCTACGCTGAGAGTGGAAAAAAATGAGTGGTACTAAGCACACAGCTACCGGCAGACAGTGCCACAAAATTATCAGTGATCTTCTGATGTATTGTGATTTCTCTTACCTTATGTTTTTTTCCAGGTTCTCTCTCACTATTTTGTCTATCTTTTTTGTCAGGAAAAAGGAATTCTTCATCTCCTTCAACAAATGCATATGGATCAATTTTAGGTTCTTGTTCTGCATCAGATGCTATTGCTGAAATATACTGGTTTTTAATTTGATATTGCTGTATTAATTCATCAGAAACTTTTAAAGGTTTCTTACACTGCACCATTAACCTGCATAAAAAATAAAATTAGAAAATTAATTATACTTACCTAGAAAAGCAAAAAAGTGTTCAAAAATAAGCAACATGAAATTTTAAAAATTACAGACTAACCTGTAATCTTTCATTTTACAAATGAAAAACCAGATACTGAATGAGTATAGGATTTACTGAAGTCCGAAATTTAATAAAAAAGTGAAACTAAATCCACACCTCCTCCTCATATGGTCTTTCCAGCAAAATATGCTGTCTTTCAGTTATGCACTTTCGTTCTTAAGACTTTAAGCACAGTAACCTGCCCCAAGTCCAATCACAGAAATGAGTTGTCAAATCTAAACTGTTATGAAAGTGACTGCCGAAATGTGGGCTTTACAGCAAAACGATATTTTTATATAATTTATTCACATAAACAATGAATGTCCTTTTGTTACTGCCATAAATTTTTAATTTTTAAATTTTAATATTTTAAGTTTTTTGAAGGCCTGATTTGCGTTTCATGAACATAACTCCTGGAAAGATGTGTTATGAGGCAAAGTGAAGTCGCAGTGCAAACATCTCAGTTTTATTTTGTTTTCTAATCATACTGGAAAGTGAATTTTTGTATTACCCTTCTGGGTTAATATAGTGACTGAAAAATAATAAAGTCACAAGGAAGGACAGAACAGTAGAAGACAGAATAGTGAATTTGGAAAGATGAATACAGAATGACAAACCAGAGAAAGCTGAAATCTAAGGGAAACCACAACAAAAAGCACACTAATCTGCACCACAATACCAAAGACCGCTAGAAAGCATCACATTTTAAATAACACCAAAGAGGGGCTGGGGATTTAGCTCAGCAGCACAGTGTCTGCCTGGCAAGCGTGAGGTCGTGAGTTTGATTCCCGGTACTGGGGGCAGAAGGGGGGAACACGCCAAAGACAAGTATGCTTATGCTCTATAAAGACCAGAGTATGAATAAAGAATGATTAGTTTTTGGTTTGGGTTCCACTCTTGTCCTCTCATTCAGGTTCCAAGATGTTCCTTAATCTGGACAAGTCACACTCCTGTTTCCCCTGTGTTTGGTACATTCTTCCTCCATATATCTGTATGGCTAACTCCTTACTTCTTGCAAGTCTTTGTTTAAATGTCGCTTTTTCTATGCTAATGACTACCTTACTAAAAACTGCAATAGGATTGCCTGCCTAAGTACTACCCCTTTATCCTACTCTATTTTCCCTTTAGCAGGAACTTTTTTTTTTTTGGTTTTTCTCCGGTACCGGGAACCGAACTCACGGCCTTGCACTTGCCAGGCAGGAGCTTTGCCGCTGAGCTAAATCCCCAGCCCCTAGCACGAACTTTTAACATTTTATATAAATTTATTATGTTCATAGTGGGCTGCTATTCTCATTAAAATAAAAGGCCCACATGGTCTGGGATCCTGTCCTTGTTCACTGAATTTTCTCAAATTCCAAAGGAATACCTCACACATAATAGTCAAAAATATTTGCTAATGAATAAATGAAATCTAACAGTCATACGGGATTAAGATGTTTTTGCATTAATAAAATAAAATATCTTATACTTTAAAAGAATAATTTTTACAAAGTACTGCTACCACGGCTTATTTGCTCTCAGTATATGGATAAAAATTATGTAAGGTCTGGGAGCAATGAAGGTTTTTTTTCAGTACAGGGAATTAACTCGGGACCTTGCACTTGCCAGGCAAGTGCTTGTGCCACTGAGCTATACCACCGGCCTGAAATGAAGGTATTAGCCAGACTGTAGTCTTTCAATGACAGGTGTATCTAATCTAGCTATTCACTAATACTTAGCACAGAGCAGCATCCTCTTCCCTATAAACAGGTTGAAACAGAGGTCCAAAATTTAAAACCTAAAATCAAATCTCAAATATATGTATCATTAATCCCTAAAACTAAAGTTCAAAGTCTAAGAAAACCATTTTTTCAGGGGAACATATTGTTATCATGTGTCAATGGATATTATAATTAATCATTACAATAGTTCTGTTCTAAAAACAAATGAACCTTTTTTTCTTAAGAGTAGCTTAAGAAAGTATGGCTCAGTGGTAGAGCACCTACCTAGCATGAGGCTAGGTATGGCTCAGTGGTAGAGCACCTACCTAGCATGAGGCTAGGTTAGATTTCTAGAACAGCAAGACAGAGAAGGGGTAAGGGCTATTATATACCTCAATGTACAGCATTACATCTGAATGTACCTGAATAATCTGAATTAAGTTTTAGCTGAAAACTACTGAATATTATAATGTAAATCTCTGCAAAATAGCTTTTTAAATTTTCTTTTTAAGACAGGGTTTCACTATGCAGTTCAGGCTGGCTTGAGCTCACTTTGTAGCCCAAGCTGGCCTCGAACTTGTAGCAATCCTCTTGCCTCAGCCTCGCAACTGCTGGGATTCACCACCATGCCTGGCACCAAAATAGTATTTTTGACCCCTTACATTCTCACTTAACACTTAAAACAACCTTGTAAGATAGGAAATGGATGATAGTCTAACTCTGATGTGGGCATTAATGCAGAAACAAGTGGTTCACCAAAGTCACAAGCAAAGGTATAGATGCCTACGTATTCATATTCAAACAACTATTCATAGAGAATAAACTACAAAGAAATTCTCCTACCTCCAACCTGAGAGACACTACTATTCTGTGCATAGGTAAATAAAACAGTTGTATTTCATATTACGTTGTCCTCAGACAGAAGCATTAAAAACTGCCACACTGTTTCCAGATAGTTAAACTAGTGCACAGTAACATTATTAAGAGGACTTCTTCTATTTAACAGGGGTCTATTAAGGATAAAAATGAGTAAATCAAATACATTTCCTAAAGACAACTTATGTTATTTTACCAAATCATTCTAAAAATATTGGAATGTGCAAAGATTTCAAATGTAGAGCCAGGGATATAGCTCAGTGGCATAAGTGCCTGCCTGGCATGTGCAAGTTCCGGAGTTCGATTCCTAGTACAAAAAAAAAAAAAAAAAGATTTCAAATGTAGCCAATAATATCAAGTTCCAATAAATTTAAAAATAAAGTCATTTACATTATACATTCTCTAACACTGAAAACTAATAGGTATAAAATTAGGATTTCTGAGTTTCCAAAATAAAAACTCAAATTATCACTTTGTCACTATTCAGTCATATAGTACAAATATACTTGTTGGGGGGTTACTGGAAATCGAACTCAGGACCTTGTGCTTGCCAAGCAGGTGCCTGTGCAACTGAGCTATATCCCCGGCCCATATATACTTTAATGAATAGGAGAAAAAAAAAAAGATCACCTCAGCCTTCCTCAAAGGGGTTTTCACATAGAGCCAAACACTTCACTACAGAGACAGTTTCAATTAGATACAAGGCTAAGTACAGAAAAACTAGATCAGTACAACCCAAATTTAAAATTTATATTACTATCTCCTCCCTTCACAATGACAGTAACATACTATCCTGAAACATACGCTTTTGAAGTTCAAATAATGCATTCTACAAGTACACAGAAGCTGGTAGACATAAAAATCTGGTAGATCTAATATAACATTCAAGTACTGTAGTTTTACTGGTGAATGCCATAGTTAAGATATCCTAATGTATCCTGATTACAGAATAAAAATGCTGAAGCACAGTTCTTTCTCTACTCAGGATTTAGAAAGATTTCCATGTGAATCAGAAGAGTAAATTAATTTAGAAACCATAAATTCAACTAAAATTAAGTGGTTGAATTACTATGCATGGACATCTAAGACTAAGGGAAGCTCGTAAAAATGATGAATTCTATTACTATGTACTACCTTCAGTAACCATCATTCTGTATCTAAAAACTGCAGGTTGGAAAAATCAAAAATATTAGTTTCTTTCATTTATCCACTTATTATGGATAAATGACCCTTCAAAGGTGATCAATGGAAAACATTTATTTATACCAAATGATGGATTTTCACTTAACATAAAGAAAACAAAGCTCTAATTTTTTTCTCCTACTATAATTTTCTATGAAAGCATACACCTACAAAAGTCAACTATTATAAAGAAAATAATTCTTTAGATGTATTCTTGCTCTTTTCATTCTATATCTACTCTAACTGGGTTACTAAGAATTTCCTCTCATAAGCTTCAGACACTTGTCCCAGTGCCTAATGGAATCTCTAAGCAAGCACTCCAAAATGAATTCATACTTTTGCAATATATATGTATCATATGCACAAAACTAAGTCATACGGAAAGATACAGATGAAAAGGATATGTACTCACTCTTCTTCAAGATCATATAAATTGTTTATGTTATTTAATTAGGGTGGCCAAAAAAACTATGTATGTAAGTATGGATAGTCTATGTATCGTGTTCCAAAACTTGCACCATATTACAATATATGTATGCATATTCCATATACCTTGTTTCTAAACTTTGTAATCTACCTAGACATCTTTGTATATCAACCCTTTCTTTGTTGCTGTTAGTGGACAGGCTTTCTTTGTTGCTGTTAGTGGATATGCCATCATTATTATTATTTATCCAGATCTTAATTACTTAGCAAGACTTTACTTCATGGGGTATATCAACAGTTATTTCAGTGTATTTCTACTCTGAAAAAATTATTTTTAAATATGGTAATATTTAGGCTAAAATGGGTAGAAAGTTATTTCTTCTTCATCTTTCCAATTCATGAAATTAATATGCTTTCCATCTCATAAAGTTAATAAATCTTTCCAGTTCATGGATTCATTAACTCTTTTGTTACTCCCTACTTTACACTTCAACTAGCTACAAAGACTTTAGTCAGAATCTATAACATCCACATATTCCTTTATTCTTGCTAGTTCTAATTTCCTAATGAGAACTCTGTATCACTTTCGCTGAGGTGTTCAAATACGTGTCCAAACTGATCTCTTTACTTAGAAAAACATGCAATAGTACACCATCATTATAAAGACACATAAAATTATGAGCAATACTTTGTTTGCTATTCTGTTCTATTGCCTTTACCCCATTCTTCAGGT